CACTGGACCTGATTACAACAATATAATGGCAATTTGCATTGAAAATTTCGACCTTCAAACCCGACGAATAGTTATGTATTAAACAGTTAGTTGTAATATTTTTCATTAACCCTTGTGATCAGATTCATTTCAATATAGTTTGTGATTTAAATGCTCTCTTTTATGGGGTAAGTATAATACAAATGTAAGTGTCTTCAAGTGCATAATGAGATTTCACCTTTTAAGTACGAATACATTAGCGTATACAAGAATGTAAATTGTGTGAAAAATGATAGGAAGATGTCCTTCGACCGAATGTTAAGTTAATGTTAATGCCGTATCGATTTCAACATTCATTTTACCTGTTTGGTAATCGTTATGTCATTTAAGAAGTCAAAGTAAAGAAAAACTCATCATTTGTGACATCTGAGTGGGCTCTCAGCAGATGCTTATATCATTTAACAAAACACCTTGTACTCCAGGAGCGAGAAACCTGTCTGCGCGGGAGTCAAGGGTTACGCCATTTATGCAGGGCAGGGCTGACAGCCTGAATGACAGGCTACAGACGTGGGGTCCTCGTCTGATAACGAGACTATGACATCACTTCTACTGGTGTACAGGTGTTTATGTAGATGTGAGCGAGTCCGTTCGGGGACCTACCGTGACGGAGGGGTCAAATGTTATTTGTACCCATGTCACGTCTAGGCATGTAAAAACCGTATCAAATTATCAAGCTGTCTAAGATATCACCTGGCAAAAAATATATTGTATATGTGCATGACAACTCCCATTATCTACATGAAAGTGTTTTTAAATGCCCTATTAGGGATATGGTTTTCAGAAATAGAATATCGATTATTAGTACAATAACTCCTCTGACTGACGCCAAATGTATTTTAAGTGATTGCATGAACCTTATCACAAGGAAATTCTTCTATTTCCATTTTAAAAATGTTTTACGTGTACTTTTAGAGATGTAATGCATCTTATTTCAACCCAAATCGATTTATGTTGTGTACTTAGTTATTCCGTCTTTGCGTATTGCAGAGTTATCTTCTCTTGGGAGCAGGTATTGATTGTGACGTCATTGGTTTGTGCGAGAAAATTGCGTCGTTTTCTCAAAAAATGATGACGTTACTCACACAAACCAGTGACGTAACAATCAATCCCTGCTCACAAGAGAAGATAACTCTGCAATACGCAAGGACGGAATATAAAGTACATGTCATATCCAGCTGCATTGTTCAGTTTGATACATGTTTTTGTATACTGTATCTATTACCAAACTTCACAGGTGCAATCACCTGTGTCTAGCTTACATTCATCTTTTAGATGTAGGATCTTAAATAGATTACCACGTCATATGGGATTTATTCAATACAAACGAATACAATATTTATTAAATAACCAAATCAAAAATGCCTATGCTATTTCTCACCATATAGACACACAAAGACTTGAGACGTAACTAGTTTAATTCGCTTAATTACTTGTCAGGTAATTCTGTTTGATGAAGAAAGTGTAGTTTCGTTGTACGTTATACGGCTTGACAAAACTATAAACAAAAATAAAGTCTAAGGAGTGACCACATGATAATTTAATATGCCATTTTGTACCAATATTTGACATGTTATAATATATAAAGGTGGTTCTTCCGTGTGTCAAATTGCACCAATCAAAGAGGTTATTAAGGTCATTTATATCATATTTCACCGATGGAATAGGTTATACAGAAAGATATACCATTTTAACGGATACAAAGATATTTGACATATATTTTAGCTTTGTGGATGTCTTGCGGATACTAAATGGTGCAGTTTCGTGGAAAATGGAAATGTATAATTCCAATGATTTCATATGTGAAATTAATATATATATATATATATATATATTTCATGTCAATTACAAGATATCTGCGTATTATTTTTCAGGTGAAATACGATGAAACATTAAAAGATCAAATATTGAATAGATGTTTATATATTTTCAATATCGTAATTTCGTTTTAACGAAAAAATAAATCACGTATCAATCCCAAAATCAAAAACATATTAAAGACAATTAAAAGTTCCATTATCAGGCCATACTGAATGAGTGAACGTCATGTGATATGGAATCATGTGACATATACTGGCACCAGATGTCAACACTGATTATCGATATGACTGTTTTAGAACATATGCTCAAACGAGGAAATAAATGCTGATAAAACGCTATTTACTGTTGTAATGGACTTTGTTAGACATTTAAAACAATTTCTATTGATAACATAAATAATCTAAAAATCACATGGATTGAAAATATATTATAAACAAATGCTTGCTTAATATCATATACATAAATATGAAATAACAGTGTTATTTAAATCAATTTTATTGATATCATCAATATGAACTTAAAATATCTGCAAAAATGATATGGATTCAAAACACATTACCAAACTATTTGCTTCAAATAATATACAATGAATACATTTAGTGTCACTTAAAGCATTGAATATTGCTATCACAAACATTTACTTGAAATATCAAAAACTTCGATTGAAAACATACATATACATCAATGGATAAATTCAGAGTCACTTAAAGCAATGTGTATTGCTATCATAACTATATACTTGAAATATGAAATAAAATGGATAAACTCAGTGTGATATTAAGACATTTCTATTGATATCATAGATATGTTCTTGAAACATTTCGAAAAAGATGGATACAAAACCTATTTTCAAACTGTTTCCATATACATCAATGTATAATTTCAGAGTTATTTAAATGAAGAACGTCAAACCAAAAAGACCTGATGCGCCATATAATGTAGACGTCGATGGAGAACGGCCTGGAGCAAAGCCGCCACACACAGTATAGTACATCATCAGGCTGAACCTGGTTAAGGCGAGTGTGTTACATGGGGATTCCAACGAGATGATTCTATCGAATTTATTGTGATTTGTGAGTGAAACAATCCTGTTTCTCATAAGCTCAAGTGTGATTATTTCACTATCAGGGTAAATGCCACAACCCTGACCTGTCCAAGGCATATACAGTCAATGTCCTCCTCTAAAGCAGCTATAGTTCGTATTTTACGGTGGCTGTGTAGCCGACGCAGGCCTGCTTTGACAGCCTCCGCTGCCCGCGGGGGATATGGATCTCATTCTTTAGTTAATTTACGCGGGGATAAAAAAAATTCTCTGTTTGTTGAACACATTGAGATGGAAACATCTGGCCAGTATCGATTCAATCTCGCGACAAAAATCGATGGTGCTTTCCTTTCAGCGACAGGCAGAAACATCAGACAATTAGCGATCGTATACTAACCTCCATACACCCATGTGAAAATATTCCACCGTATAAAAAACCGACGGACAATATATGGAAAATTGATCGAGTATATATACGACCACTGGTGTGGATGTGATGGGATATGTATTTTTTAATATTAAAGAGAAGACCCGATATAATCCGTCGCTATATCCATCTTTACAAAGGATATGTACAACTTGGATAGAGCATTAACACTGATGGGATCTATTCATTAGCCCTAATCAATAATGTTAATAAAAATTGTAATTTTCACTTGTTCGATAAAAAAATATATGGTTATAATGGAAAGGTGGAAACCATCTGTTGTGTTAGTGGTGAAGAGAGAGAGGGAGTACAGGATAGAACTAGATAATGAGGGCTGTGGTATCGATTTTGGTCGACACAGGACACAGCCATCTAACCCCCAGCTGTTGGAATCAAAAGACGTTCACAGCGCGCAAGCTTCCGTCAAGCTCGACAGCTTTCATTATCACATCATCACTCATTAACTCTGTGTATAAAAATATGTTTGGTGTGATAAGCGACCTTAGTGTTGTTACCGTGTAGCTAGTGATGTGTTATATTGATTGATACTCTATTTCCATATTGAAGTAAATTGTACTATTATTTTTTATGACATTAATACAACAATGAAAAGGTTGAAATGCATGTGTGCTAAGCTAGATTATAATATTAAAATAAATTTTAATGGATTACACCTATCCAATGACTGTTATTCTATATCTATATTCACGTGCGTTAATACATGTGGGTACTGGCCGTAGATCGGTGGTTTTTCTCCGGGAACTCAGGCTTTACTCCACCACCACCACCATCACCACCACCTGGCACGCCCTTAAGTGATCATAGCTGTTAAAAGGACGTAAAACTCATATAAAGCATTAAAGAGTATTTCTTAATTTAGACGTAATATGTGACTAATAAATATCTTAACTTGGTAGTTATAAGTTGAACGGACACTTTTTTTGTGAGATCTTGGAAACGTAGAATCTACGAGGTATAATTGGTGTACAGTATATATGGCGCGGAGATAATCGTGTGTATGCGTCTCTGCCTAGAAGCGACCAAGACAAGATTTCCTGATTTTCTTATGAAATGTATTAGGGATTTCGGCCATTTTTAGTTCACCATTGCCAAAAAATACCATATTTCAGTCAGTCAGATCATTATAAAATGAACGGAATAATGCTCTTGGGCTCTCAATGGCTTCTTTGATTAATATTCTTAATCCGCCAGTGGCGATGCAGCAAATGGTATTTGGTTTAAAACAATCTGTAAGGTTTAGTTATTGTTCAGTATCATTTTGACTATTTTATGTGAAAATTGTGAGAGTTGGGTACAAAGTGTGGGAAGTGGGAAGGGGATCAGTATCTTGGTATCTAGTGTTGCTAGTATTAATTGGACGATAACAGGCCACATCGTACAAGTGGCACAACCTCGGCAGCTGCCGCGCCCGAACATCGATCCGAGCTCGCGCCGCTCTCTTTCTCAGCGCTCTTGCGGAGAAGTTGCCCCCACCTGGCCACGATCGATACTCGCGCGTCGAGCACGTGCTATACGGTGACATGTCCCCGTGTTGCGCGTTGTACAAGTGTGCTTTAATTTTTTGTTACATCCTTAATCACTTTTATTCAGTTTTTCCTTTAGTTATTTTGAACACTTAACCTAATGAAAAGTACCATCTTTCCTTGGTTATCGCTAGTTAAGAGCGAGGAAGAGTAGCTGTGAAGTAAACCAAAGATTTTGCATAGAAATGTAAGGCAAAAATTGAAACATACATAAAACATCATGATTTTATTTACCAAAGAGCAAGTATGGAATAGTTTGTGGAGCTGACCAAAAACTTGTCCGTTTGATCAATTTCAGGGTCATCAGTGTCCTTATGAACTGCCCGAAGAATATAAGTGTCAACTTGTCTATATAACAGTTGGTCAGTCACTTTATAAAGTAAACGTTTATATAAGAATCATCTTTTTATAAAGTTTTACAGATGATAAAGCTTTTCACACTAATGGGAAATCTTGGGACGACTATCACCGGTTGATTTTTTTACCCTTTGTATGACTGTTACCCCCTATTTGCATTTTTTTGAACAAATATTTTTGCCTAAATCCGATTGGGTGTTGCAGGCAACTGCTAACCAATCAGAGTTGGCGTTACATACATTATAGTTTGTAGTTTGTAACAGACAACAACGATAGTAGCTGGACACGGCAGTTTTTACCGGTTTCTCTACACTACGATGAGAATTTCAGTTATCTCTCGAAACAAAGGATATTTATAGAATATTTAAAAGTGAAACATGCAAAAAACATGCAGAAAATAGAAACATCGACGAACGCTGATGTGTCAAAAATAATTGCATTATTTTACACAGAATATAACCTACATAAATGAATGTTAATAAAAAGAAGAAAATATTGTTAAGGCAACCACATGATAAGTGTTATCATTAGCAATTACTAGAGATTTATATTATTCATCGATCGATTATTTGGGAGTCATAGACAAATAGTATGGGAGTGTAACAGTTGTTGACTATTATTTCATGTTACAGACGGTCGCCTTCAGCCTGCAGCCTCGGTCAATATATTAGTCTTCGGGTTCAACAGCAAAAAAAACCCACCTGTTTCCTTGCACCGAAGTCAACGACTGTACACTGTTTCCCTGCACCGAAGTCAACGTCTGTACACTGTTTCCCTGCACCGAAGTCAACGCCTGTACACTGTTTCCCTGCACCGAAGTCAGCGCCTGAACACTTTTTCCCTGCACCGAAGTCAGCGCCTGTACACTGTTTCCCTGCACCGAAGTCAACGTCTGTACACTGTTTCCCTGCACCGAAGTCAACGCCTGTACACTGTTTCCCTGCACCGAAGTCATCGTCTGTAAACTGTTTCCCTGCACCGAAGTCATCGTCTGTACACTGTTTCGGAACGATTAGCCAAAATATCATTTTGATTACCTATACTTTTGAACACAAATACTGAAGTAATTTTCGATTATTTAAATTGTCACCTTAGATTAGCTTTTACTTTATTATCGATGATTTTAGTCTCCTCTTCATAGCGAAGTTGCAATCAATTAGAATGTATCCGTAACATTAAACTACTGTAAAAGTGGAAATCCCCTTTGTGGAAATGTTCACATTATAACTCTTTAAACTGATTGCAGTGTGGAAGTTTTCGCCTTGCCCTTGACAATGATTCTGAAATCTACATATTCTTTATATCTATAATCTATAAAAACTACAAATAAATATTCGCGTGTGGATATTTTCGCGCTTATTTACTCCATGCGTAAAACGCTCTATTTCATATTTCATAACCGCGAAAATTACTGTAAGTGTTTGGATCCTTGCTTTTGCAAAAACAACCAACTCACATGGATCGAGACAGGTCTTTCTTGGGCGTATTAGTGATATTCGTGAACCACCTGCTACTCTGTGTGGCCCACTTACTATTAAATAACAGTGTCTGGCTATAATGAATTGTAAATAAAGTCACACGACCATAATGCCACAATTTGTCACGCGAGTGATTACCGGTGTTAGAAACATTGTAGTTTTATTGTGTTTTCAGCTATGTCGCGCTGATGATGAATGGGAGTATACATCTTCACAACGTTATAATCTCTTAATCGTAATACATTAGGAAACGTAGAACATTTATTGCAGATTGTTTTATAACAACATTTAACCAGAAGATTGACAATGGCGCTGACAGTCAATGTCCGCCTTCCTCGTCAGCATGTCTTATAAGGTGGCTTCATCCAACATACCTAAAACATAAAAACTATTGTTGTGCTATATTTTCATAACTTTGGTTTGTTTATGGGGTTTTTGTGTGTGCTTTTAACAGCTATGCTCATTTAAGGACGTGGTAGGGTTTTATATAGGGGGAAACCGGAACACCCGAAGAAAACCCATCTGCCTGCAGCCAGTACCTGGTGACTGATCCACGTAAGCCTGGAACCCGCGACCCAGTGGTGGAGGGCTAGTGATTTTAGACAATCATATGTCTTAATTACTGGAACACAGTGGCCTCGAAGTCCTGATATTTCAGTTTCTGAAAGAAATATTTCGTATGAATGATAACAATGATAACTGTAGCCCTTAAGACGAGGCAACAACACTTACATGCAATTGTTTATTTTCTTATTAATTAGCATTATTTGTATGTCCCCTTTTGTATGGGAAGGGGCATATATTGTTTCCCATGTCTGTACCGAATTTTCCGATTTTTTGGGGTTATTTTTGGGGGTTTCCGAGGTAACGGGAACATGTCTGTAATTATCACTACCATTAGTTTCATTAATTTCTACACTGCCAAAAGGCGGAGAGTTTTATTTTTGTAATTTTGTTGTTGTTGTTGCTGTTGTTGATGTTGATGAGCATGAGAAGTTGCACGTGTTTGTTGTTTTGATTTCCAAGAGCAACTAATATCAACTTTGACCCCTCAGGCATTTGAAAATGGCACAAAAATCGTGCCATTTTCAAATGCACCAGTTGCGAACCATCCGCACGTGAAAATGCTGGTCACGAATTGGGAGAAATTAAACAAGTGACCAACCTCTGACATTCAGGGAAGACGCACCTAGGTGAGAGATGAATAGGTAAATATCAATCATGTTTTCATGCATAGAGGTCAAAATATATCCATGGTAAGTCAGTAGTCTAGAGAGCATTAGTTCTTTCTCAGGTACATCTGAAAGGCATGTCTTTTCTTGTTCTACTTGCTATTTCTATCATCCGTCTTTTCTGACGTATCTAACAAATATAACTGTGATATCGAATCGTGTGTTTTGTGAACCATGGATAATACGAATTTTACCTGTACCAATATAGACTGGTTTTTATTGCATAGACATTTAATAACACGGTGGAACTTTGATTAAGGCTTAGTTTATTCTAGTTTTTGTATTGTGCAGGGTTCAGATGTGATAGGTAAAATGTGCACTAAATGTAGCGGAACCGGACTGGGTCGATCGTTGGCGATTAGGTTCATGTAGCTCAATTGGTAGAGTGTCCGTCTAGAGTTCAGCGGGTCCCTGGTTCGAACCCCTGTCTGGCCGTGCATTTTCCCGTTGCTATTACATTTGGTGCCTGTGACCAACCTTTGTTTCAAGTACTAGGTGAATGTTTGGCGAGGGGATACCAGAACCTAGGTTGTAAACAGTTTTGTCTTCGAGGGCGAAGGCTTAGGAAACGGAGGGATGAATGTAGCGGAACTGGACTGGGTCGATCGTCGGCGAGAAGGTAGCTCAATTGGTAGAGCGTCCGTCTAGAGTTCGCAGGGTCCTGGGTTCGAACCCCGGTCTGGAACCACTCCTATTACACAAAAAATTAGATACAGTATTAGGTTACATATTACCTTACACACAGTATACCTGCTATTTATTCATAAAAAATATGTTTTTCTTTACAGAGCTTTTTTGGATAGGTGGTACATTTCACAGTTTCTACAAGGCTGGATCTCATACCGTAGTGCCATTTCTCTCCGCTAGGCTGCGCTATTTGATACTTATGCTTTTGAAGTGATGACTGGTGTAGAGTAGAATAACTACGGTAATCAATCTAGTTGAAGTTCCTCCATCTTTTTCCATTCTGAACACATTTACCCTTTTTCAGTCAGGTCGAGAAGCATCCTGGTCTTGACATCATACAGATTGCATCTTACCACGTCCTTTGTTCGAATTCTTTTTCCTTACAAGTTCAACCTTGTAACTTTTATAAATATATATCATATAATACTAGTTATACAAAAAATAAAGAGTATTATGTAACCAGGGTGTCTTGATACCAGTTGTACAGTTTCGAGTCCCTTTTACCAAAGCATGCAGATATTCCCAATAGAAGATACCACACTCGGGCGTGACATTCAGTTACCGGTGCGTGATGGCACACACACTCCAGCCTCCCTGTTCATGCAAAGGACTTAACTTTCCCTCTTTTGTACCGGTTGTTTCCGTGCTCCCAAGATCACCGTATACAGACTAAAACTTTCACTTCTGTGATATTGCAGCTTATACGTTTTGACAAACGCGCTCCGGAGGTTTGCCTGCTGCAGCATGCCGCGTGTTGTTCAAAGCGATGGGCCGCAAAGATTCAACAGAGTGAAAATTCGCTTTTTTTCTCGCGCTCTCTCTCTCTCCTGAATATTGATCGACCTGCTAGGATTGAAATTATTGTGTGCAGTTTTATACAGGATTTATAAATGTCTTTTAATCAGTAATCGTTTTGTTTGGTGTTAAATCTCAGTACTACTGAACAATTAATAGTAGTAAGGGCATCTATGCTTCTGGTCATTCAGCTTTCTACACTTGTTCAAAAGAATACGGTAAAGATGATCAGTAAGCTCATTACATTCTATCGGGGCTTCATGTTTAATATGGATGTAACCGATATGCGTTCATACCGGCATGACAATTAAAAAAAAAATGACGTACAATCCATATATTTACTTTTTTACTATAGAACAAATGTTAATTAAATTTATTTTTTATTAGATAAGTAATTCATTTACTGCGTTTTGTTTATGCGTCGTCCTTCAAACGACATTGGAACAGCCCTATTTTAGTCAAATTGGCGCCAATAATTAACCGTAGTCATTTGAGGGTTTGACGTAATATTATTCTAAGCGAAGCGACAAGACTCTCATTGAACAGGGCTAATCCATGACGTCATAAGTAAACCACGTGATACGTCACGAGAGTTTTTGCCCTCATACTCAAATGAAATGCATTTCTGCTGGTAATGTCCATAAAGTGGGTTGCACCGCAAATGTAAATAAATTCAAATGAAATGCATTTCTGCTGTTAATGTTCATATAGTGGGTTGCAGCGCAAATGTAAATATAAAGCGATATCTTTGCTTTGGTATTCATTTTTTCATTGCATTATACACATTATGAGCTCTTAGAAACATCGACCCATAACAATGACAACACAGTATTTGCACACCAATGTGCAGCAACTAGCACTTAGTAGCCTGCAGGCCTTCTCAAAATATGCGGAATACGAAGCAGAACAAGGACAGAGTTGGTATTATGGTTTTCCTGGAATACACATGTCGTTTTACAACAAATAATGGAGGTTGGTTAACAATATTTTATTTATATCAGCTAATTGAATTAACCTCTAATTTTTCGTCTGGGTCTTTTGCTCACAGTAAATTGAATAAAGCAAAATTGGTCTGCTGCCACATGGTAACACCTCGGACCTCTATCTTTTCTTTTCTCTCCTATTTACGTTTTGTTTTCGAGGCTGTTTCTCTAGGAACGGGCCGCATGTTACATTAGCTGATGTAATAATTTCAAACCCCGAACCAAATGCTTATTTCCTCCATCCCAAAAAACAGTAATAATTAGCATCAGCCATTCTCGTTTGACTAATTCACGTTTCTTTCAAAGAAGAGATTATCCTGAGCTGTAAGAACTGCCCAAAATTTCCGGATACAAAAGCTCCGGTTGGCTGTGAACTTTGAAGCGTTTTCCTACATTCTCATTGGTTGAGTCATAATCACGCGGAGGTCGGTTATTTGTGATATTAACTCGGTGTTACTATTTTACTATTGTTAGAAACAACAGGTTAATAATTCACTTTATGACGTCACTTTAGTTGGAACGTAAAAATGCTCTTGAAGATTTGCTCTTGTTTAATGATAAAAACATAAAAAAATCTGATCTATTCATAAGAATTGTAGACTTAAATTTCGGTGATTATGTGTTATATGTACATTTAAAGTTCGTCTCGTTTAATATCGCTTTCCCGTGTCCATTTAACCACATATTCACCTCAAGTCCGTTATTGATAAATATGATAGTTAACATTGTATATATACAATAAAGTTTACATGATTTGTCTTTAGATATTCATAATCCTGACTTTAAAAAAAACCCTCATTTACAATCATCTGTGTGTTATCCTTTAAATCTTTTTGTTTATCTCTGTTAAACA